GGGGCTCTGAGTCCAGCAGAGGATCGTGCCCCAGCTGGGACTGCCTTTCTTCTGGGGATCAGACCATGGAGCAGAATTGTCCGGTTGGACCCACTCTCGCTCTGCAGTGAATGGGTTTAGACTGTGGCAGGAGTCTGACTCCCAGCCTTTGTGTGTGTGCCCCCGCCCCTTTCTGACCCATCCGCTCTGGCCCGCAGCTGGGCTATCCTGTACCTAGGGTGTGTGTGTGTGCAGGGGTGTCTCCCAAAGAGGCTAGCCCAGATCTCTTTGTGACCGCAGTCCCTAACGTGCTGGTAAGGGACCCCGGAGTCCTGAAGTCCCAGCAAAGACTCTAGCTGTGCTGGAAGGCCCCTTTGTAAGCCCCATCTGTTAGATAGGCCTCACCTTGTTTGAGCTTGAGGAGCTCTGGTAGCCTCGTGATAAAAAGCTGTGCTGCAATCCCAAAACCAAGGGGTTCAAATCCACCAGCTGCTGTGGGAGAAGGATATGTAATCTCCTTGCTTCTGTAAATCCACTGGAAGATCAGGCTATGGGTCATTTCCAACTCAATGCCACAAAACAACAACCACAATTGTGTATTGAGGGAGGTAGGGTCCCTCCTTCTGGCCCCAGTGGCTCTGACTAGGTTGCACTACTCTATCCTGAGAAGCAGTGCAATGATATTGTCAAAGCATCTGAGGTCAGCCTTGGGGATCCTCCCAGCAGCCCTCAACTCCCCTTCCCTGTCCAGGCTTGTTGGATTTGCCACCCCCATCCTCCACTTTGTAGGCTGGAAACTTGAGATCCTGGTCAGGCAAGACCTCCTGGGTCAGAGGACATCCTTCTTCCAGTCCAGGAGGCCTTACTCTCCCAGGGAGCCTGCATTCCAGGCCTGGATTTCTGCTGGCAGGCCTGCCCGACCCTCTTTCCCTGTTGCACTACTGTTCTCCGCTGGGAAGCAGTGCAATGATGAAAGGGCATTGGTTAGGCCCAGCCCATCACCTACAGCCCCTGGGACAGGCTTCCTAGCTTCCACTTCCTAGCTGAGGCAATGGGAGTGCCTGAGTGTTAAGTGTGTGACCTGATTTGAGCTAAAAGGTGTGCAGACAGTATAGAACATTTGGCTTCAAGCGTTCCAACTGAGTTCTGGTTGCACAGACAAAAGGACATATCCTTTTAATAGTTTTATAGCAGCTCTTTCTGCACCAGCCCCCCAGGTAAGACTGGGATTCTAGCCCTGCTTAGGGCTTAGAAACAGAAACCCTCTGCTTGTGTGGAAGGAGTCCCTTGGTAGTACAGCATTTGTCTGCTAACCTGCAAAGTTCAGGTTCACTTACAGGAACCTTGGAAGGCAGGCTTGGCAATCTATTTCCCAAAGAGCATAGCTACTGAAAGTTGTCAGGAATACAGTCCTATTCAGACACCCACAGAATTGGCATGTGCTGATGATAGTATTTTTTCATTCTGGGTCAGAAAGAGCAACATTCTCTGAGACCGACTTGGGATATGAAGCCTGTAGTTGGTGCCCAACCATGCCAGCTTTTTTGTCTTACAGAGAGCCATGCCCTGGGTTTGTAGGATGGACTGTGGGAAGCTTGGCGTGCATTCTTTTAGTGGAATGGTGAGGAGTTGGAAGTGCATTTCCAAGGAGGCCAGACCCATTATTTCTTTCCACGCAGGATGCAGCATGGTGCAAGAGGCTCTCATGTGTCTAGTAATAACCATGCTTCTTGAGAATAGAAACTGTGGTATTATGGGGTGGATGAAAAGTAATGACACATAAGCCTCCATCTCCTTGGTCCAACCTAGCTCCTTCATCCTTGGGACTGTAGCCAGAGGAGTCTAGGCCTCACCTCATGCAGGTTCTGCGTCCTTTAGTGGTCCCCATTCCCAGAGAGGCTTGCAAATGTCTCTTGGTAGAAACATCCCTTAGGTTCTACCACATCATGATAACAGAGTCTCAGATCATTATTTTGTCCCTGTGGCCAGGTCTTCATTAGACTGGATGTTTCTACAGGTAGAGACAGAACTTTTTTTAAAGATATGAATACACATGTAGTAGGAAGCTCTGGTGGCCTAGTGGCAAGAAACTGCACTGCAATCCTGAAGCCATGAGGTTCAAATCTACCAGCTGCCCTGTGGGAGAAATATGGGCAATCTCTTCCTGAGTGATTAACTGTCTCTGAAAACCCGCCAGAGAATAAACTATGGGTCAGTTCCGACTCTAAGGTACACAACAACAACACCAACACACATGAAGTATGGGTATCAGCATGGCATAACTGGAAAGGGGCAAGGAAGCCAATCAGAGGTCTGAAAGGCTCCTCAAAATGTGCTTGTTCTAACAATAAATGAATGGAAATCCAAAGTCTCTGTAAATTTTCATTGAAATTAATAATACTTTTTTTTTTAAAAGTGTAATTTCCATTTTATTTTCAGACGAGTTTTTTCTTCAGCCTTTTAAGGAATCAAATCCTTACATAGGCTTTGGTGGTGGTCGTGGGGCAGCACCTGCAGGTCTAAATCTAGGTGGAGGTGTCCAGTCCTTTCGGGCTTCACGAGAACGGTTCCTCACGACCTTGCTGTGAATGGCACAACTCACAAAATAGTGCAGTTTCACATAGAGCTTTGGAAGCACATAGGCGTCGAAAACACTCGCTTCGGAAATGTCCCTGACAGCAGCTGCCTCTACTATATTTCGGATTACGAACTTCTTAATTGCCTTGTCTTTGGGCACGCACCGGGCGCAGTTCGTGCAGCGAATAGGCTGCACGTGGCCGCGGCCCTTTTTGGCACGACCGTTGTTTTTCCTTTTCTTCGTCATGTTGGAAGCGAGGATCCGAGAGCAATAATACATTTTTTAAAAAAGAAATTTAAAAAATGTGCTTGTTCTGTTTGAAAACACACATGCTAAGGAATCTGTGGGTAGTACAAATGGTTAAGTATTTTCTAATGAATTCAGGACAAGCACCTCAGAAAAAGAGGCCTGATGATCTTCCAGACAATCACCCACTGATAGCTCTGGGGTACACTGTTCCATGCTGACATGGCACATGTTAAGTCAGAATGAACAGCAACAGGCTGTTTTTATACATAGTATATTCCTCATAATGCAAACTGTTAAGCACTCTGTTATTGTGTACCATTGAGTCCATAGCTGACCCTCCAGTGGATTTTCAGAGTAAGTAAAATTTCATGGGAGGAGATTGCCCATCCTTCTCCCATGGGGTGACTGGTGGATTTGAACCGTGTTCCTTTGGGTTGGCAACACAACTCCTTACCACTAAGCCACTAGTGCTCCTTAAGCACTCCGTTACTCATCAAAAAGTTGGTAGTTGAAATTCACCCACCAGCTTTTCTGGAGAAAGAACTGACAACTTGCTTCAGTATTTTACCAAAATTGACCTCACAGCTGTGGATTCTAATTCAAAGCATCCCTATGGGGTAGCAGAACTGCCCCAAGGAATTTTCAAGACCGAATCAGATGGCGCATCTTTCTCCCACTGAGGTGGCTGGTGTTCGGTTTGAACTGCCAGACATTCAGTCAGCCAAGTGCTTCACTGCAGGACTATCATGCAAATCCCTAGGCAGTTCTATTCTGCAAACTTATGTATGTGGTCACTGTCAATCAGAACCAGCATCTAAGAATAATCAAAACATAGAGCAACTTTCAGGTTTAAGTTCTTTTTTTTTTTTTTAAGTTACAAAGGGGCAGAACAGAGACTTTAACTCAGATGCAACTGATGAAACCTGAGGGGTAGAGGCAAGATGTCCTTAGCAGATCATATCCCGCTTTGGCTACCACATCCTTGACCTCTCTGGGCCCTCTGCTCTCTGGCTTCAAATAGCCGGACCACTGATGACCTAGTGATTAAAAAGCTACAAGCTGCAATCCCAAAGGCAAGTAATTAGAATTCACCGAGGATGGGCTATTTATTGCCTCTGAAAACCCACTGTAAGATCACTTATGAGTTGGTTCTGATTCAAAGGAACACAGCAACAACTGGTAATTTCCGGTTAAAGGGCAAGAAGTACCATGTTTTGAGTCCGGAGAGCTGGTGGTTTGCCTGTGGGAGAGAAAAGTCTGGTTAATAGAGTGGCAGGAATTAGAAGGGGAGAAAGCAGTTTAGGATGCATCCTCACTCCGTGAATGGCGGAGGTAACAGCTGACCAAGTAACTTTTCATGAAAAGAGTCTGTGTAAGTCAATCTATTGTATTCAAATTGAACTGCCCGAATAAACACCCTAATGGACATTTGATCTGGAGTTCCAGGGACGTTCCAGGCATGGATTGGTTAAGCCAAAGTCTGTTTTGTGACCAAGAAGTGAAAAAAGGACTTTCGGAGGACATATCTGAGGAGCCTAAAGGGAAACAAAAGCAATCCTAAGCGGAGACCGGAAGTGCAGGTTAAAAAGCTACTCAAAACATGGTTGTGAAGAGAGGAGGATAGAGGCTGGGAAAGGTCATGTTTAATGATGAAGACTAAGTCAGCAGAGTTCGAAGAAGGTGAAAAGTGTAGGGCTGAAAGGGTCAAAGGTGCAGGACATCTTTGGGATACTGGCTTGGCAAAGGAGATGCTAGGAAGGGGGCTCGTCACTGATGGGATGTAGACTGATGGGAGGGCCTGAAGGCTGGCAGAGAGGCTGGCCAAATTGGGCCGATGACCAAAGTCCAGTGCTAGAAACTCCCTACGGACTGATCTCCAAAGGTGCCAAAGACCACCTCAGATGGCTGGGAAGCATCTGAGGCACATGAGAGTGCATGCTCTCATTGCAACAGCATTGTCACGTGAAACTGTTACTCTGGGATTGGCCCCTGGGAGTTGGTTCCACCTCCAATCTGAACGGGGATTGGTCCTCACTTCCAGTCTCCCTTGCAATTGGCTGGAACCTGAGGGTGGAGCAGTTACGGAGGGATACCTCTGGGTGAACCCCACCCCCCCAAGACGGGCTCAACTGGTACACCTCCGTGACCCAGAGGGGGGCGCTTCTGGCTGCCGGTAAGGACCAGAGGCTTCCAAATGGAGGCTCTTGACGAATTCGACCGGGAGGTCCCTCTGACAATGACTTTCTGCCGGCGCATCTCTGGGGAGGACTTCGAGAAACAGGCATCCATGTGCACAGAGTGCGCACTGCGCCACCTCTTCCGCAGCATCGACCGAAACCCGGCGATTGCTGAGCGTGCAGTGGGCAAGGGCAAGCAGGATGAGTGTGAGCAACGCGGACTCCTCTCATTCCTCTGGGTGCGCGGCAGACCCTGGGATCCAGGCATCCCACGGTGACACTGGGAACAGGCAGTCCAGGATATGGCGGGTGTTGAGTGAGTGTTGGACTGCACCCCAGAGTGACCCTGGGGTTTGGGCAGCCCAAGATGTGGTGGGGGTGATATGGGGGTTGGGCTTCACCTCACAGTGAACCCAGGGTGTGGGCATTCCAGAATTATGGTGAGTGGACAGCAACTCCACGATGAACTCGGGATCTGGACAGCTGGAGACATGGAGGGGTAGGGGTGAACTGCACCTCACTGTGACTCAGTGGTCTGGGCAGCCCCAGATGTGGTGGTGGATAGGTTGGGGGATGGACAGTGACCCTGAGGTCTGCACAGCCAGGTATGCAGCAGAGTGGTGGGCAGACAGCATCCTGTGATGACCCAGGGTCCGGGGAGCCTGGGGTGCTGTGGTGGTGGCAGGGTGGACTGTACCCCCATGATGAGCCCGGAGAGCCTGAGAATCAGGTGAGGTGGCTCATCTCTGACTCCATACCTCTCCACCATCCCTCAGGTCTGCACAGGCCAAGTTCTTCCATGCTGTCCAGGGGGATCGCAACTACTGCAACAGCATGGACACCCTAGAGATGCATCAGCGCCTGGAGCAGCTTAAGAGGCGTATCCACCGCGTACATCTCTATGCCCAGGGTGAGCCTGCAAACCCTGGCTTTAAACCCTGGACCAGGCTTTATACTCTGGAGAACTGTGCCCACCTTCCTGTTCCAGAATGCCCAGGAAGTTAGTTCCCCTTTCCAAGCAGGAAGAATTTCTTCTACCTTCACTGGGTGCTGGAGAGTGTGAGAAGGGCCACAGGCAGTAACCAGTCACCTTAACTCGAGACCCCCTTATCCCTGGGCCTGTGCTAACTCAAACTCATTGCGAAAAATGGGAACAGACTCTTTCAGGGACTCTAATCACATCGGGAACTTTTGTGGCTTAATGGTAAAGAATCTTCCTGCTTTTTCTCGAGATATAGATGGGCAGCCTTTTATGCAATTTACTGCCTCTGAAAACCTGCAATTATGGATTGGTTCTGATTTGATGGTATGTGACAACAGCAGTCATATAGGAGATTGACCATCTTTTGCCCGCAGCCTGCGTTGCTTGGGCTTGGCAGTGTAAATCTTTACCCAGTAAGCTATCAGAACTCCCTGACACTATGCTAGAACTAACCTAGAAAAAACTAAATTAGAAAAAAGTCATTTTTGTGTGTGAGAAAATTCAGGTCCCTAAGTGACCTGACAAAAAGGTTTGTGGTTTGAATCCACCAGGTGCTCTGAGGGAGAAAGGCAATTAACTGCCTTTGAAAACCTGCTGGAAGGTCAGCTGTGAGTTGGTTCCGACTCAAAGGGACACAACACCAATACCTGAAAACGTGATGGGGGGAAAAATGTGATGATTTAAACCTACTGAGGGTCAGCACAGAAGAAAGCCCTGATGATTTATTTCTATAAAGACTACATGCGAGAAAATCTTATGGATCTCATTTCTACTATGGAACTCATGGAAAAGAAGCAGTTGTGAAAATAAGCACACACAAGTCTGTGAAGGACAGTGAACATGGAACTTCAGCAACCATCTCCATCTTATCACACTTTCTTTGTTCTCCATTCCCTCTTCAATTATTTTTTCCCCTGAAGCATTTTAAAGGAAAAACCTCAAACATCCCAACATTTCACCCATAAATACTTTAGGATTTATCTTAATGAGTGGAAAGCTATGCTTATACAATCAAAATAACATTTTTTAAAAAAAGCAAATCATTAGAAGTGCAGCGATGAATGAGTGGAAATCCAAAATCTCTGTAAATGTTCATTAAAATTATTAATTTTTTTAAAATTATTTTTGTGTGTGTGTACCGTCAAATCAGATCTGACTGGTACAGGAGGAGATTGTCCCTCCTTCCCCAGCAGAGCATCTGGTGGATTCGAACGTTGGCCTCTGGGATTGTAGTTGCAGCTCCTTGCCACTAGGCCACCAGAGCTCCCCTAAAATTACTAAAATTTTTTTAAAAAGCAAATCATTAGGCATGAAGGTGATTTTTACTCACAGCAGTCTCATATGTAAGAGTAGAATTGTTTGTTTCAGTGACTGACTTTTGAAGTTGTTATGTGTCATCAAGTCACCTGCAACTCATAGTGACCCTGTGTACAACAGCTCTGAACCCTGCTCTGTCCTGAGCCAACCTTACTGTCACTGATGCCCCTGCCTCCATTACCCCTGTCACTGAGTCAGTCTATCTCATCAAGGGTCTTTTCTTGCAGTGTCTCTCCACCCTCCCAAACATGATGTTCTTTCCAAGGACTGGTCCCTCCTTGCAACATGCCCAAATTATGTCAAATGGACCAAGGAGCAGCCTGGTTTCACCCTCTTTATTATGAACTTATTTGTTCTCTTAGCATTCCATGGTATATTCAATACTCTTCTCCAGCTCACATGCATCAGTTCTATCATCCCTAGTCATTGTCCAGCTTTCTGATGCATAGCATGTAATTGTGAAGACCATGGCCTGGATAAGGTGCACTTTAGTCTCCAGACTGACATCATTGCTCTTGGAGCCATCCCTGACAAAAGATCTTCCCAGTGCAATTTGTCTTTTGATTTCCTGTCTGCTAGTATCAAGAGTGTTGATTGTGGACCCAAGCAAACTAAAGCTATTAACAATATCAATCTCTTCACCATCTGTCATGAAGTAGAAGACTGTTATTGGAGTATGTAAAGGACTACAGGTAAACCTGACTATGTTTTAGAGAAGAGGATGGATTTGTACCACCAACCTTTCAGTTAACTGAGCATATTAAGTGTTGGGCAACTCAGGACTTCATGTCCTCATTACACTTGATGTATTCAACTCTCAACTACTTGCCTTGGATAATCCTCTAGTGGGTTTTCAGAAGCTTAAAGTCACATGGGAAGAGATTGCCCATCTTTCTCCCTTGGAGCAGCTGGTATATTCGAACCGCTTATTTTTTAGTTGGATCAACAACCTGCGTTATGAAGATGACACAACCCTGCTTGCTGAAACTGAGGAGGACCTGAAGCACCTGTTGCAGAAGATCAAGGACTACATACTTTGGACATGTTGTGAGGAGAGACTGGTCCTTAGAGAGGGACATGATGCTTGGGAGGGTGGAGGGATGGAGCAGGAGAGGAAGGCCCTCTATGAGGTGGATTGATTCAGTGACTGGGATAATTGGGATGGGAGTGTCGGAGACAGTGTGATTGGCACAGGACAGAGCGGAGTTTAGGGCTGTTGTACATAGGGTCGCTATGAGTCACAGGCGACTCGACGGCACATAACAACAACAACATATGGATTGAAGCTCAACATCAAGAAAACAATTCTCACCACTGGGCCAATAGGCAGCATCAGTATGGATGGTGAAGAGATTGAGATAGTTTAACAGTTTAAGTTTATTTGGCTCCACAGTCAGCACTCTTCGTAACGGCAGCCAGGAAATCAAGAGAGGAATTGCATTGGGCAAGTCAGCTGTGAGGGACCTCTCAAGAGTACTGAAGAGCAATGACGTCAGGCTGGAGACTAAGGTATGCCTATCCAGGCTATAGTCTTCGCAATTACGTGCTATGCATCAGAGAGTTGGATAGTGAGAAGGGATGATAGAAGGAGAATTGATGCCTTTGAGCTGTGGTGCTTGAGAAGAGTGTTGAATATACCGTGGACTGCTAGGAGAACAAACAGGTTTGTCCTGGAGAAGGTGAAGCTGGAATGCTCCTTGGAGTCAAGGATTCTGAAGCTTCATCTAACATACTTTGGGCATGCTGCAAGGAGGGATTGATCCTTGGAGAGGAACATCATGTTTGGCAGAGTGGAGGGGCAATGAAGGAGAAGAAGACCTTTGATGAGATGGATCGATTCTGTGATTTGGGTGGTGGAATGAGTACGTTTGAGATGGCTAGGTTGGCACAGAACAGCGTTTAGAGCTCTTGTACATAGGGTTGCTATGAGTCGCAAGTAACTCGATGGCACATAATAACAACAGCATAACCAGTGCACTAGAGCAACAGAGCTTATCCTCTGGGAAACTTGATGTGTTATTACTTACATTACTTGATGTAGTATTATACTTAATGTATGATCATATTTTCTTGATTGGATGAAAAGTTCTTTTTACATTAGATCTATCATATCAGGACCCATTGAGGCTCATCCACTCTGCTTAGATTTTGATTCCTTAGTTGTGAAAATAAAACAGGAAATTTTCATATCTCTGAGGACAACAGCTAAGCCAAGTGGCCACTTGTTGTGAAGTCCCTTTAGAGATGACATGATTGCTCTTCTTCAGTTTCTCCTCCTTTGACTATTGCAGAACTGTGTGTTATCTTTTGGGGTGCTCTGCTCTACTGATTACTGCTGTTTTATTTTTAGTGGTGTTTGCCTCATTTCTTTTCTCTCTGTATTTATTGAACCAGCTGTTTTTGAATAATCTTCAGCCAGATTTTACTTGCTTGCATGTCATATGAGTATTTTTTGATGGTTCCCACATTCTGTTAGATCACTTTTTGGAGGGAATGAAAGCAAATATAGATCTCTTCTAGGCAGTTAGCCAGGCAGCTGTGTTTCAGATTGATTGGCACAACCTGGTGATGGGACTGTATCTGTTTGTTGGAACATGTCAGTTGGCATTCCATCACTTCCTGGGGCCTTATTTTTTTTACCAATGCCTTCCATGCAACATCATCTTTCATCACCATTGGTTATATCCTTCTTCCTGAAATTCTGTGTCAGCCAATTCTTTTTAGTTACTTGCACTCTTTGCATTTTCTTTAAGTATTTCCTGGGTCATTCAAGGTTTTGCCCATCTCATCCTTCATTATTGCAATTCAAGGTTTGAGTTTATTCTTCAATTCTTTCATTTAAGAATGCTGATTGAGCTTTCCTTTTTATTTTCTGACTCCAGCTTTATGGTGTAGTAAATTTATTGTTCAAAATGGTTTTCCTAGCCATTGAATTTGACTTTGCCACATGTATGGGCAGGATCACGTAAATAGGGCATGTTGTTCTGCCCACAACTAGCTTAGCCATTTAATGAGTGTTGCCATTAAACTGGCTTGATTCAGCAGCAGAAATTTGGGAATCTCAACACCAACAAGGAAGAGGAAGCCATGTGTGTCCTTTGAGACCCAAGATTTCTGTTCTACTAAGTTTGGGTCCTAAAGGAACAGCAGCAACTGCTGCAGCAAAGAACCAGAGATCTAAGGTAAGACAGAGCTGACCTAGAACTGCAGCCCAATTGACCTAGAGCCAGGACCCTCAGTCCAAGCCTGCTGGAGGACTCAAGGGGAGGCACCTGAAATTGTATCCTCTTTGCCAACCTGAATTGTAACGTGTTAACTTCTCTAATAATCCTATAATCATTAGTTACACCAGAATAGCAATTGCAATGGATTTTAGACCTAGTAGTGCAGTAGGATTGGTGTTGGAATTAGTGGAAAGAGGTGTGGGAGCATAGGGGGTGGAGCATATCTGACTGCCTTGGAATTGCTTTTGTATTGTGGATGCCATTGTTGGAGGCAGTTCTCTCTTGTGAAGTTAGTAGAGGTTAAACTTGGCTGTCCTCATGTGGCCCTTGCTCTTTTTTTTTAATTTTATTATTTGTGCGTGTGCGTGTACCATCAAATCAGATCTG